TTTTAATTTTCAAATTAAAAAGAATAAAATGTTCAAAAAAAATGGTTCAAGATGCTTAAATAGTAATCACCAAAAAAATTTTTGAGATTTTTTTCACTTGCATTTGTAAGAACCTAAACTCATCAGAAACCAATGACTTCATGTTTGAGAAATCAATATACAAAGAAAAATCAACCTATGATAAAACAACTTTCCATTACTTAAAAAACTTTTAAGTCAAGGTGTCATTATAGATGAGACTTTCAATCTTCTCTTTTAATTACTTGCATTTCTCTATTGAGTGTCCAATTGTCCTTATATGATAATCACATTTACCATTTAGATCATAACTCTTGGCTGATGAATTCAAAATTGCTTTAAAAGGTATTGGGTAAGATATCGGTACTTTACCCACAAAGGCAAAAGATAAAAAATTCAAATTAAGATTTTTTCTAGACTGTTTCTTAATCTTTTTTTACTATTCAATGGTAGAGCAATAGATTGGGGATAATCATTTATGTGAGGAACTAATTGTCGAATTGATTGGTAAAAATAAAGATTTTGAAAAAGGTAATTTATGGTGGGGTAATAGAATTAATAAGGATGGTATAAGGTAAAACTTCCAACCTATTTTCCTTCATACATCACAACTTGAATTCCTTCTTTTTTCATTCTCAATACACCCATATCTTTAATGCCAGCTATATCATCCTTTTTAAGCTTTCCACTTTTTATGGCATTCTCTATTATCTCTCATAATATGACTATGTTAATAAAATTTTTTATTGCACTTTCGATTATCCTTTCATAGTATGGAGCTTTAAGAATGTTGACAAATAAGATTGTAGTTTTTTTTTTTTTGGTTAAATGAGGTTGAACCTGGATAGCAGTATTCTTCCACCTTGGAGCATATTCTCTAAAGGACTCCGTTGCCTTTTTCTCCATATTTTGTAAAAAAAAATAAATTAGGGGCCAAATTAATGATGTAACAATATTGATTTATGAAAGAACAAGTCAAATCCTTTCATGATCGATTGTAAGTTCTGTCCAACTCGACATACCACATTGCAGTAGAATCAGTCAAACTATTTTGAAATATATGCATGAGCAGTTTCTCATTATTGGCATAAGCAGTCATTTTTTTATAATACATGATAACATTTATGATAGGACATTTTGTATCATCATATTTTTCAAACTCAGGCACCTAAAATTTTAAAGGAATCACAACATTTGAAACTAAGCAAAACCCCTTAGCATTATAAAACTATAAAAGTTTATACCCTCAATGGCTTGCAGCCTCTTCTTAGGCATGTTCATTTTGTAATTAGCTTGAATCTTTCAAAGCCTCAACCATATTCAATTTCTCTTTTGGAACATCCAAATTAGAAATTTGAACCTATTCAACTATCTTTTAAGCCAAGGTAAGGCTGTTGTAACTTTAGACATTCCTTTTGCTAGGTGTAAGCGACATTTCTGAGTAAGTATAGTTTGTCGAAAATGCAAATTGTTGTGATAAAAAGTTTGGAGTGGTTTGGCCGGATATGGGCTATAACCTAAAGGATATGGAGGATCAGCAACGTCATGTGAAACATTTTTTCCACTGCTTTTCATTTATTCAACTTACACAATGGCTCAAGAATTTTACTTAGCATTCCTTTAATCTCTTACTGGGCTTTTTCTAATTTCTCAACACATCTTGCATTATCTTGTTCCATATTTCTAGCTTGGGCCCGAATATAATACTAGTGTTGAGCTATTCTTAAACATTGATTTCCCATAATTATGGTGCAAATTTAGAATGATGTTTATGGAACCATTAGATTATGCATAAGAATTATGCAAAAAATACATGAATGCAATAAAAAAAATATAATGATGTGAATGCTTGCATATACAATAAAAGAAAAAGGTTAGTAAACATTATATATACAAAAAACAATATAATATATACAAAAAACAGCATAAAGGTTTAGTATGCAAGTAATATATACAAAAATATATATATAAATTTACAAGTAGAATAAATGTCCCATCATATGTCCTATTCAAGGTTTTTTAACATAAGAGAAGACATAGCTCTAACCTAAGTTCGAACCTTTAGGATTTATTTACATGTTAGGTTCAAAGGTTTAAAGGTTTGACAGTCTAAGGGTTCTCAAATTATTCTTTACATCGTTATCCATTATAAACTAATAAGGCATCCTAATCTTCAACCATTATAGGCTACAAGGGAAATGGTTCAATTTAAGTGAGAGTTTTCACTAGCCCATGCGGAGACATGAAATCTCACGAAGATATAGGTACTTTACTCCCTCATAAGGGATAAAACTCAGGTTTAAAGTTGATATTAACTATGTGCAAATAAATGACAGATATATAAAATAAATAAATAAAATACAAACAAGGAAAATTTTTTCTTAAATTTATTAAGTTAGGCTTGGATAATAAAAAATCATTTAATGGCCTTACTCTTAATTTTTTCAGTGAAGTTATCAAACTGTCATAACATATAAATCTGTGGACCTATCACTTAATATAGATTTTAAGAATCGTTACCAATTGTTTTTATTTAAGTGCGATTAGTCATCTAACTGAATCTATCTCATTTTAAAGATGAGTCACAAGTTTGACTTAGGTATATTTAAATGATAGATTATAGTCTATGAAATCAGATTTTGATTTTTAAAGTATAGTTACATGTGAGAAAGGTTTCAGCACCATCACAATGCCTATCCAAAGAATGGTATAAGTTTTATTACAAGTTATCCGAGCCTTAAAATATTTTTATAATTTACTAAATAATTTAATTACCAGAAATTAATCCTAAAATCATTCTAATAGTTTGAATTTAAAATAATTTCCTCACCTCAAGAGTATTCATAAAGACTAGTATCTCATTCTGAAGAAACTCTATCATTGAATCCATTAACATATTTTATTTTTAAAAAATTAGTAAAATATCATTTAATTTGGTAAGATTTACTTTGATATAGATTTTCTAATAGTTTGGTGAGATTTTATTATAAAATTATATATGAAATTTATTTTAAGAAAATTCATTAAACCTTTTAATAGTTTGGTAAGATCTAATTCAATATTTAAATTCTCCAATAGTTTGGTATGATTAAAAAAAATTTATTATTATTTTTTTACAAAAATTAATTAAGTCTTCAAATACTTTAGTAAGACTTAATTCAATATTTAAATATTTCAATAGTTTGGTAGGATTCAATTTTATTATTATTATTTAAAAAAAAGTTCATTAAGTCCTTCAATAGTTTGATAAGACTTAATTCAAGATTTAAATCCTCCAACAATTTAGTAGGATTGAAATTTTTATTATTATAAAAAATTATATTATGAAATTCTCTAATAGTTTGGTAGAATTCATAATTTAAAATTTTTAAACTCATAAAATAAAAAATTCATAATTTAAAACTCACAATCTTTAAATTTTATTTTAAACATACATAAAAAAAAGTGAAATAAATGAATAAATATATAAATAAACAAAATGTGAAAATTATCTTAATGGATGGATACATACCTAGGTGGAAGTATCATTTGATCTGCAGTGATAGCTTTGCCATCAATTTCAACCAAAGAGCTTGAGTATAGATTATTACTCATCCATTTTCTGGTGGGTTTCTCTTTTTTTTTTTTTAGTTGATTGGTGTTTATATAAGACCTTTTACTAAAAATTTTAAGGATTTGCTTTGAATGAAAATGATTGCATATCTAATTATGGTCTGAATTAATTTTTTCTTGATTCTTTTTAAAACATATTTAATTAATTTTTGAAATTATTTTGATTTTTTTTAATTTTTAGATTCCTTCAAAAAATTTTAAATTAAATCTAACTTTGATTCGTTGATTTAATTTCTTTTCAATATTTTTTTAATATTTGAAGAGATCATATTTTAGTCTTAATTACTTAGATCATTTTTTATTAGTACTTAAATTACTCTATAAATTTTATTGATATGATTTATGATAAAAATTTAAAACTAGATAAATAAAAGATTAAAATATTAAAAAAATAAATAAATAAATAAATAAAACAAATATGATATAAAAAATATAAAAAATTAAATAATTAAATTTAAATCGAATTTAGATCTAATTAATTTGAGCCTCAGACTAAATAAAATATCTACAAGTATTGTCATGTCATCTCTTACATGAACTAAAACACTAGTAGATACTGCCTTGTGTTAGTCCGTTGACGATCCTAGACCATTGCTGACCTTTAAATAACTCAAGAGTACAAGAAATGACATGCAATATGAAAAAAATAATAATATCAATAATAAAGAATAAAGAATAAAGGGTAATTTTGTCACTATAGTATAGTTGGAGGTTGAATTTCCCCACATTATTTTGATTTGATTCAATTTTTTCATTTTACTTTTTTTTTTTTTGTGATTTTGAACAAAATTAAAGGAAATTGTTTTTTATTCTAACAGCAAACAAAAATAAATAAAAATGACATATAAACTATAAAAAATTTTCAATAAATGAAAAAAAAAAAAAACAAGAGATTGACATAAGAAAAAAAAAACAAATCATATATTTTTTCTCCCAAAACAAAGAAAAAAAAAGTTAGAATTGAACAATTGAATCTTTGCCTTTTGAAATTTTGAAGATTATTAAATTTTCATATTTAATCATTTTATTTTAAATTAATAGTTGATTTTATTTTGATTTATCGCTATCAAAAATATTTTTCCCCTTAAAAATGGTTTATGGATTTTTTTTTCTGTCACAACTTTAAGTTAATAAGTTATTTGTTAACTTAAAAATATTTTTTATTCTAAACTATTGAATGAATTAAAATTTAACGTAACATAATATAGTTAAATTAATATTACTATATCAGATGAAACAAAAATAATGAGACAACTATAGTATTATTTTTTAATCAATCAGATTTAGGTTAGATGCTTACATTATTTCTCGGCACGAGTTTAGCGTGCACTTCAAAATGTCACGTGCGAGGTCTTCGTCAACTGTTAGCCGTAAACGGTTACCTAATTGGAACATTCCAGATCGTCATAACTGGCCGTACTCTCTCGAATCCCCCCGAATCTCGAAACCAAAATTCCCAAGCAATTCCTAAACCCCCAGCACACTGCACACCCAAAAAAAGGGCTCTCGGCAGGAACATGGAAAATGCGTACTAAACGACACCGTTGACTCCCAAGTTCAACATAAAACCCGAATCAAACGACAACGTTTCATAGAACACTCCAGAACCCCCGGTCTTCTCTTTTCCCTCGCTAATTATTGCAGAAGGGAGGAGAAGGGACCAGAACCTCTCTTCAGTATATATACCTTCAAATATCATTTCTGTTGTTATATCATTCTCATTCTCATTCTCATTCTCACCAAGCAAAGAATTAGTCAATCTTTCTCACCATTTTGCCATCTCTTTTTCTATTTGGTTTCATTGGTTTGCGAGGAAATGGCGGACGTGCAGATGGCTGACGCAGAGACGTTTGCCTTCCAGGCTGAGATCAACCAGCTTTTGAGTTTGATCATCAACACTTTTTACAGTAACAAGGAGATTTTTCTTCGTGAGCTTATCAGCAATTCCTCTGACGTATGTATTTTCTGTCTCTGTACTTGATCTGTTAATTAAGTTTCCACGGTCATGCTCTTTTATGTGTTGTGATGTTTGTATGGCTGGAAAGAAAATCTTTACGCTATGGTTTTCTAGATAAACTTTGATGCTTGATTTTCGAAACGAAAATTCCCTGATAGGCATAGTGCATTGTTCTCTAATGATACTCTTTTGATGTTGAATAATCACATTTTATAACAAAAAATTAATTTAATAATCGAGGTTTTTCTATTGAGGTTCTTTTTTAGTTGGTTTTATGGGATATGTAGTTTGTATTTTCAAGTGTAAAAAGTTTGATGTACGGTTATGCTTATGTGGATTAAGAATTACGACCGTTGGATGGGAAGTTGATCTTTGTGGATGTTGGTGTAGGCTTTGGATAAAATCCGATTTGAGAGCTTGACTGATAAGAGTAAGCTCGATGCTCAACCCGAGCTTTTCATTAGGATTGTTCCAGACAAGGTTAACAAGACCCTCTCCATCATTGACAGTGGCATAGGCATGACCAAAGCAGGTAATGTCCATTTGTATTCTTTGTTTTAGATTTCATTTGAGATTAAATATTATGAAATTATATTGGTTGTTGCGTAATATAGATGGTAATGGATTTGTTATTTGAACTTTTTTGCTGTTTGTAAGCAGATCTGGTGAACAACTTGGGTACAATTGCAAGGTCTGGTACCAAGGAGTTCATGGAGGCATTGCAGGCTGGAGCTGATGTGAGCATGATTGGTCAATTTGGTGTTGGTTTCTACTCTGCTTACCTCGTCGCTGAGAAAGTTGTTGTGACCTCAAAGCACAATGATGACGAGCAGTACATTTGGGAGTCCCAAGCTGGTGGCTCCTTCACTGTCACCAGGGATGTCAGTGGAGAGCAACTTGGTAGGGGTACCAAGATGACCCTTTTCCTCAAGGAGGATCAGGTAAATATTATTTGCCCATTTTAGAAAATTATAATATTTAATGTTTATAACCTTTTATAAATTTTACTAAGTTGGTAAATTGTATGTAAAGTTGGAGTACTTGGAGGAAAGGAGGATCAAGGACCTTGTGAAGAAGCACTCTGAGTTCATTAGCTATCCGATATACCTTTGGACTGAGAAGACAACAGAGAAAGAGATTAGCGATGATGAAGACGATGAGCCTAAGAAAGAAGAAGAAGGAGATGTTGAGGATGTTGATGAGGAGAAGGAGACTAAATCAAAGAAGAAGAAGATCAAGGAGGTGTCTCATGAGTGGCAACTCATCAACAAGCAGAAACCAATCTGGTTGCGTAAGCCTGAGGAGATCACTAAAGAGGAGTATGCCTCTTTCTACAAGAGCTTGACTAATGATTGGGAAGAGCACCTTGCTGTCAAGCACTTTTCTGTTGAAGGTCAGCTTGAGTTCAAGGCTATTCTATTTGTACCAAAGAGGGCTCCATTTGATCTGTTCGACACTAGGAAGAAGATGAACAACATCAAGCTCTACGTTAGAAGGGTGTTCATTATGGACAACTGTGAGGAGCTCATCCCTGAGTACCTAGGATTTGTGAAAGGTGTTGTTGACTCTGATGACCTGCCACTCAACATATCTCGTGAGATGCTACAGCAAAACAAGATTTTGAAGGTGATTAGGAAGAACCTTGTGAAGAAGTGCATTGAGATGTTCAATGAGATCGCTGAGAACAAGGAGGACTATAACAAGTTTTATGAGGCTTTTTCAAAGAACCTGAAGTTAGGTATTCATGAAGACAGCCAAAATAGGGCTAAGTTGGCTGACCTTCTCCGATACCACTCAACCAAGAGTGGTGATGAGTTGACAAGCTTGAAAGACTATGTCACCAGAATGAAGGACGGCCAGAAAGACATTTATTACATTACTGGTGAGAGCAAGAAGGCAGTGGAGAACTCCCCATTCTTGGAGAAACTCAAGAAGAAGGGATATGAAGTTCTTTACATGGTCGATGCCATTGATGAGTATGCGGTTGGACAGTTGAAGGAATATGATGGCAAGAAGCTTGTATCCGCGACCAAGGAAGGTTTGAAGCTTGAAGATGAGAGTGAGGAAGAGAAAAAGAAAAAGGAGGAGAAAAAGAAATCTTTTGAGGATCTATGCAAAACAATTAAAGATATTTTAGGAGACAAAGTGGAGAAGGTTGTTGTCTCTGATAGGATTGTGGACTCTCCCTGTTGTTTGGTCACTGGAGAGTATGGGTGGAGTGCAAACATGGAAAGGATCATGAAAGCTCAGGCTCTGAGGGACAATAGCATGGGCTCTTACATGTCTAGCAAGAAAACAATGGAGATTAACCCTGACAATGGAATCATGGAAGAGCTGAGGAAGAGAGCTGAGGCCGACAAGAATGATAAGTCGGTGAAGGATCTTGTGCTCTTGCTCTTTGAGACTGCTCTCCTGACCTCTGGGTTCAGCCTTGATGATCCACACACATTTGCTGCTAGGATTCACAGAATGCTCAAGCTGGGTCTGAGCATCGATGAGGATGAGACCGGTGGTGATGATGCTGACATGCCTGCTCTGGAGGAGGAGGATGCTGAGGGAAGCAAGATGGAGGAAGTAGATTAAGAGTATCAAATTTTAGATGTTTATGATCAGGTCGTGGATATTTACGTCTTTCTACCATGATTAATCTAATTTGAGGGGTCGGGTCCAAGGGGTAATTGTAAAGTGTCTGTTTTCTTTCAATGAACTCAAAAAATGTCTGTCGAACTTTGTCTTTATAATCTCTGCCCATTTACTACTATGTTGTTCATTATTGGGTTTTCTAATTTGTTTCCTTTTTCTCTGAGAAGTTTGCTGAACATGTTCATCTGGAATGTTTCTTTGTACTGTAACGTCTGCAGATTTAAAGGCAAATAATTGGCCATGTAAATCCATAAAATGGGGGAGCATATCACCTAGCCACCGTTCCTGCTGAGATGATGATATCCAATAACCCACGTCTAAAAATGAACAAAGCCTACGATGGCTAAAGGCTTCCTCATCCAACTCGGGAATGTAACTTAAAAAATCAATGAGTAAAGTACGTATCAATTTCCCTAGCCATTAATTTGGAATGAAGCAAATTTATTAGAAAAGTAGGATTTTTTATCTTGCAATTTTGCAGACGATTTCTACAATAAAACATGGCAAATCCAATTGCAACAAAGTTTATAAATATATATATATATATATATATATATATATTTTTTTTTTTTTTTTCTTGGCCAAGAGATCAAACTCAAACAATGTAATTTAATAGCAAAATAACACAAGTGAGCAGAGACGCACCATTTCCATAAACGGCCAAACTCATTAAAAATACAAAATTGTATTATCTCATAACAAGCTGACTATTGTCTGAGGCTGCATAAAAATAGGGGAACAAAAGCTTAAATTAGTTCCAAGAGTTTGAATACCATGTTTTACAAAGAACACTCAAAGGGCAGGCATTGCCTTCAAGCAAAACCTGAACCAGATGGAGCTGCACTATAGCCTCCACCTCCACGACCAAAGGCAGGCCTTCCACCAGAACCCTGTACAGTCAAAAAGGAAAACCAATCATTAATACAAGCAGCCATTAGTAACCAGTACCAAACGTGAGTGAAAATTTGAGCTTCATTCAAAAACAAAAATAGAGTTGACCTCTGAAGAAGGAGATGCCGAGCTCTACTTAAAACAGCTTATTTGCAATAAATAGACACTACAAAGACACACTCAGTGTCTAAATACTAACCTTGTACCAAATCCAAGCAAAAATGAATTCCAGGTTAAAATTGTTCTTAACCTGTGTCCAAAAGATCAGTCTAAATCCCTCACCCACAAAAAAAGTCACATACCAGCTAAAGAACTCAGTCAGAATGAAAACAAACAACATTAATCAAGAAAGAGCTTAAAATTAAGCACTAATTATCGTTTAATCTTGAACACTTCCGATGCCCAAATTTAAAATATAATTAAAGCAGAAGGAAACCCCGAATCTGATCATGTAGGACTTTAAAGTCTTGATGCATACAAAATCAACATCAACCATAAAAGCTACAATTACAGTAAGAAACACTTAAAACTATATCAACAATAACATAGAAATAAGTTGAATCCTTATAAACACTGAGGCCAAATTTAAAACGTAAAATTACTCTGAAGGATGGCTGGAAATCTGCTGGAGCACCTCCCTTTTCACCACCAAAGTCACCCCCACGTGGACCTCCACGGTATCCATCTCTGTCACCAAACCTCAGACGGTCTCCTTCAAAGCGTGGTGGACCCCTAAAATTCAGACAAGCAAAAGAGATCACTTACAACCCAAACAGACAATCTAAAAGAAAAAAGGTCGAATTTGAAACAAATCAAGGAACAAAAAGAAAACAACTCACTTAAACAGTCTAAAACAGTGATAATCATAAGATGCATTACCTAGGGCGATCACCGGGTGGGGCACCTAGCCTACCAGGGGGCTTTGTAGATTTCTTCAAAGCAGCAGGCACAATTTCTGATGGAAGATTGAGGTAGGTTCTGAGGAACTCAATTCCATCATTAGTAAGGTACCAGTAGTAGTGCATCCATGCAAATGTCTCGCGGACATATTCCTTAGACTTGAAGCTCTGCATCAGCTTAATAACCTGCAAATTGGGCACATCGATCTCGGGTTGCTTTGCAAGATTATAATCCTTCTTTGCATAGCAAACTCCCTTTACAAAATCACAGGCAATTTTTATTGAGAACACAAAACAGTCATTAGCTGATATCTATTTTGGTTGTCAAGGTATTAAAACAAATATGGACATAACCAAAACTAAAAATTCCATCTTTTTTTTTTCCAAAAATGGCTGCTTAACAGAATTAATAAAAAGTTCACTTCATTTTCTCATCAACAAGAATTGATACAAGATTAGTCACACAATTAAAAGGAACAAAAATAATCAAAATTAAGTTCAATTTTCTAACAAATAAAAAAGACGGGAAATGAATAAAGCTAGTGGATAAATTACATGAAAAATGAAAAAAAAAAAAAAAAAAGAGATGCACCTTGAAAGAGGTATTTGCATATTTCTCTTCGGTTCTTCTCTGGAATAATCTGAAGATAGAAACAAAGAACAACTTCAGTCGCCTATATACGTATAGACGTATACATATATAAAAAGTAAAGAGAGATAGATACATACGTACCATGGCTGCGAAGTGAAGATCAAAGGCAACGCGAGCCCTTTGTCCGTTTTTCTTGCAGGAGCAGCAGAGAGCAGAGTAGCAACAGCTTTGAAACCCTAGAGAAATGGGAGTTTTTTCTTATGATAAGGCACCATATAATCTTATTTATCAAATTAAATAGTTTTAAACTTAATTCTTAAAATACTACTTTGTACACTTTGAATCCACATCATATATATATATATATATGATAAATTATATAAAAATAAAATAAATGATAAATTATTTAATTAATTTTAACTTAGTCAAAAAATTCTAAATACTGTATCTTGAAAAATCTTCACCTTCTCTTTTTTTTTCTTCATCAAATCGTCCTCTTTTTATCTTCTTTCCATTTGAATTAAAGTATTCATGCATTGTTATTTACTAAAAACAAACTATTGATGTTTAAAGGGTGTTTAATGAAATGTCTAAAGGAAACTTTTTTGTTTACAAATTTTTTTAGCGAGGAACCTAGTGAAAGTATATCATTAAACTGACAATACTTCAGAACCTTAGCTCTCTAAAATTGGATTTGAATTTAGCAGCAAAGCTGGTGAAGAAAGTAGAATGAAAAATAAAAGGGAGAGATTCCATGGAATATAGACCAATACTACTGCAAATTAGGCAGAGAGAGAAAAGGAAAAACCTGAGATCAAAACCAAAAGATGTAAAACAAGAAAGAAATAAAAAAATTATAAAAATTATAAAATAAAATTTGAAAAGCATTTATTTAGTGGGAAGTGAATAATCATGGTGTGATGATTTTATACTTTCAGAATCATTCAAAAAATTTTGTGAAGGAGATTCTAACTCTTGCCCGAAAGATAAAGATTTTAAAAAAGATGAATAGTTATTTTTAAAAAAAAAAGAAATAGATGAATAATTTATACTTGTTGTTAGGGCATTGTACAGTGTTGCAATGATTGTCTTCTATTTGATAAGCTTTCTGTATTTTTTAATAGATAAATAGTTACAACGAAAAAAAAAGGAGAGAAGATAAAAAAGACAGTGACGTCGAATTTCATGCTGACATGAAATTGAATTGTATAATACTATCTATTTTTAAGAATAAAGTTTAAAAGTATTCACTTAAAGAAATAAGATATGAAAGTACCTTTGTTTGGGAAAAAACTCAGAGAACTTGTGGGGATTTTATATTGGTGCTCAATTCAAGGAATACGGATTGTAACTGATCCTATTTAATTTCAAGATTTAGAAGTGTGAAATAGTCGGGTTTATCTTTAAAATGATATGATTCGATATGATATGAACGGTGTTTGATATGATCCTTTATTAAGTAATTGGATTAAGCTAAACACGCGATATAATATATGCGTATAGGTATAATATGTGTAGCGCTAAATTAAAAAAATTTAAATTCATAAATTGGCATGATACAATTTGTTAAAGAGTTTGTGATAGCATGTGGCATATGGGTTAACATGATATGGTACGATGCACAAGTTCTGTTATGTTATATTAATTTATAATTATTATTAGTGGGCTCGTAACCTTTGAATGTATTTATATTATTTTTTATATTGCAATGAAATTATATTTATTTTTGATATTTTGTTGATAATTTATAAAATAAAATTATATTAAAATTATTTATTAAATATTTAAATTATTGATAAATAAATTGTATTTAACTAGTGATTAATAAAAATAAAATGACAAAAATAAATAAAAACTTTAAGTGAAGTATAAATTCAATTAACAAAGTAAATTACTATGGGTTTAAAGGTATAAAATAAATATATAAAATAACATATTATATAAGTAAATCATAGATAATGAGAATAAAAATAAAATGATAATATTGTGTTTTATAATATCTTTTATATATATATATGTGTGTGTATATATGTATAGAGATGTTCATAGGTCAAGTTGAGTTCAAAGTGTATTCATACTTGATATTAATAGTTTATATATTTGTTCAAATTTAACTATGTTCAAAATTTTAAGCTCCAAAATTTTTTTTACACCCCACCCAAATTAAAAAAATAAATGCCAAACACATATATTAAAATTAATTTATATAATAAAAAATAAAAAATGATTAAATTAAGTTTAATATAATTATATTCAATTCACATATATATTATATAAAAGTAAAAATTAAGTTTAATAAAATATATAATTTTTTATTTTTAATATATATATGAATTAATTTATATATAATTCACCTATATATAAATAATATATATATATATATATATAAATTCGAGCTGGACTGAGTAAAACCTAAATTTTAAATTTTTTATCCAAGATTCGACCTTAATTTTAAACAAGACTAAAAATTATGTCCAAACTCATTTAATAAATTTTAATTTTTGTCCAAATTCTCTCAAATTTTAGGCAAGCCTTCAGAGTAGATTGGATAGCCTTTTTCTTGAACAGGTCTATGTATATGTGTATTTTTTAAAATATTAGTATTATAGTTTCAATATCTTTATTTAAGAGATTCTATTATCTTTCTCTTTGGACGTACGCATTTTGTCAAATCATGTAAATTTCATGTTCATTTTTATTTCATTTTACTTTTATTTATCTTTGCATGTTATTTTAATAATAGATGAATTTAAAAAAATAATTAAAATTTTAAAAAATTATTAATAGATTGTGCTTGGCCCATTTCGGCTTGAAAACAATGCCATGACTGTCATGTGTCCTGCTAGGCCTCAGCCTTAGCCTTCATAGATTATGCTATAGCACATTGAAAAATAGTATTAAACCAACATGATCCATTAACACATATGTTAATATTTAAAAATGCTCTTCTAGCCCAACACAACCCATTTGGCACCTTAGGGCTTTAACTCATAAAGGTGGGCCACCATCAAACTTAGATCGGTCTAAGAAATTTTATGGCAAATCATGGGACACATAAAACATAAGGTCCTCCTTGCTTGCACAGCACATTTTCGCTTCTTATTTTTTTTAATTTGATAATTTATATATTTATATCATATAAAATATTAAAAAATATATATTTATATTATATATTATATAATAATTATATTTTATAATTAATATTAATATAAAATATATTTTTTAATTTTATTAAATATATATAATTATTATTAAAATTTAAATTTTATTATATTTTTATATTATATTTATATCATATCATTATATAATATTTTAAATTATTAAATCTCACGTTTTTCTTATCAAATCTCACGCTTTTTGTGACTCGCTATAGATAGGATTTGAAATGAATCAAATATGTTCTGTTACGCCCGATCTTTTTATCAACCAAGGCAAACTCTTACATTTTTCAAGTCAAAGACTCGACTGCTACACCATTAAGGAAGCTTGATGCCCAAACTCCTTGTCATCATTTAAAGCTCGTCTCGCTCATTAAGGCTCTTTCGACAAATAGGAGCTGCTTGTCAAAGCCTCTGCTAATGTCATATCCACATGTCACATCAGTTCAATTTGCTTCTAACTTTAAAGAATCATTAAATGTAAATCATGCTGACCATGACACACTAAATACAATCCACACTTAACGCACGTGGAACTTATTCAAAGTTTAGATAGAACTCCTATCGGTGGCCAACTACTCTAGGCCTATCACTGCCTAAATTACCACAGTATTCCTATATAAGACACAAAAAGTCCAAGTACGAGCACGTTAACCTCTTAAGCCTTTCATACTAGAGCTTTTCTTGCGTGCTATTTAGAAGCGTCGTCGATTCAATTTGAATTGATATAATATTAAATTTAAATTTAATTTTAAAATTTAAAATTTAAAATTTAAATTTAAATTTAAATTTAATTTAATTTATTTTTTAATTTAAATTTATTTTAAAATAAAAATTAAATTATTTAAATTTATTTGATTAGATTTGATTAATATATAAAAATAAATTTAATTTTTATATTAGATAAAAATTTTATTATTTATGTTCGAACTTAAACTTGAGTTCGAAATATTTTATTAATTAAAATAATAAAAATATATTTAAATAAAAAAATTCAATTAATTTCATGAATTATTCGAATGAGATATAAAAAAATTTAAACTTAACTTGATCCGTTAATTTAATACATAATTATAAATAATATGTTAAGATCCATTAATTAAATGAATAAATCATAAACATAACAAATTTTGTTTATATTCAATTCATTTATATTTTTAATCGTATTATTGCTTAAAACATAATTTATTTACTAACAATAAAATAGTGACGGATCTTGACACTTAATTTTGAAATGATCAATTAATATTATATTTTATTTTATTTTATATTTTCATACAACTTATTATATCACATATATATATGCAAATAATATGTTAATATATGCAAACAATTTTAATTTTTAAGGGGTTAATTTAAGGATTTAACATATATATACTAAGAGGTGCTACAAATTTGGGAGGGGGCTTAACAGTTGTGAAAACTTGGAGGAGCCAAGGTTCCCTCATGCTTAAATGACGGTTCGCCCTGCAACAATAAGTCGTTGCAATAAATACTTTTAAGATAATTTTTCATATGATGAAAATTGTGGCATATACCTTCCAATAATGGAAGTAGAGGCAACCATCTTGCAACGACTTTTTTTAGTTACAAAAATTTTTTCTTAACAATAAATTAACATTTTACAATGACATTAAGCATCGTTAAAACTCATTTTTCCTGTAGTGGCAGAAACTGTTTGGGAAACAAGATTTTGATATACACAATACATAATTTGGCAGGTTAATGGGCTAGAAAGTTTCAGCTTTTCTTTAATCTCAACTTGTAATTAGCTAGGTAGATTCATTTCTGTTCCTTGTAGTGTTCATAGAAATTGATTTATAAACGTCTTTTGGCAGGTTTAAATGCGGACAGATATACATTGTGTAGCATTTGATATTTGGCACTTGATCATTGAAAGCAGAGATAAAGGAAAGTTAATACGACTAAAAAGATAAAAAAATGATTGATAGTGCTTTGCTATATTTTCCATCATTAGTAATTGTTAGAGACATTTTTTAAGTTCAAAGGATAAAATCATCTTTTTTCATTAAAAGCAATCAACAAATAATCAAAGACATTTATGATTTTTAAGTCGATTTGATATGTCAAATTAATTTAATATTTATATTATTACATCAATTCGATTATCTCATCAACTTATACAAAAAATCTTTTTTAATGTTGACTTATCATTCTTTGAATAGATGATCAGCATTCAGATCAACGTGACCTGTCAGATCATCTTGACTACAAAACTAATCGTGGATAACTTAATTTATCCTATAACGTCTCTCTCAATTATAAATAAAATCATTCAGGTATTATCTAAATATTATATATATTCTTTCACTTTTTACTTTCTCTTTCTTATTTTTTTACTTGACTTATTTTTTATTTGAGTGTCAAAATACAAATATTGAGAAAACTCTCAATTTTTACCTTTAATCGCTCTCTTTTATTATCTTTTGTTTTCAAGATTTCAGCTCGGCACGAAGAGTTGTTATCACTAAATGATTTATCCATATTTTGACATGGTGAATGACTGTGGGAGAGAACTCACTAGGCCTAGAGAAATATTACACACATCAATTCTCATGTGGCTAAAGATAGTAACCTTTGCTTTCTGGTTTAACAAAGTATATAAAAGCTAGTTAGTTCAGGACAAATGAGATTGCATCCTAAATTTATGGTGCGAAAGAAAGATGAGCATTCAAGGCATTAAACTGGGAAGCGGGTATCAATAAATCAAATCTATTTTCTGATTCCTGCAACTCCTCATTACTTTTGTCTTTTAAGAAAGACATTGGTATTATGTTTTGTTTTCATTTGGGAAATGGACATTTTAATACTATGTTTCATAACGAGAGAAAAGAGAAGATAACCAGAAAACAAAGTTGTTTCACTTTAGTTGTTTGGCACGAACGAAAGATGAAATATAAGGAACAAGAAGTTTATAAAGAGTTGAGAAATTAGGGCGAAATTCTTAAGGGAGAAATAGTTGGAAATTTAGTTAATTTTTCTTTAGTTAAAATAATAAAAAAATATTTTAATTTCATCAGTTTATTTAAATAAATCTTTATTATTTTATTATACTCAAATAAATTATAACCTTTTAATTTACACCCAAACAAATTATCATATTTTAATTTGTATCCAAATAAATTTTTTATATAACCTTTACACTTTAATTACACTCAAATAAATTATAACTCTTTACTTTACACCCAAGCAAATTTTTATACTTTAATTTATATATAAATAATTTTTAATTTTTAATCAAAGACACTCTTAACATAAATTTATATTTTTTTGAAACAGAAACTTATTTAAGTACAAATCCCAAAATAAAAACTTATTTAAATAAAGTGATCAAATTGATAACTCTTTTCAGTCCTTTAGCATTTTTTTTTTTCCAATTTCCCTTCCCTCACTTGTAGAAAGATTAAATTTTACGAACATAAAAATAAGAAGTCGAAGTATTTTCCTTTTCTTTCTCTGTACCAAACAACATCAAATAATTTTCCCCTCACCTTTTTCTTCGCTCTTTACATTCATCTTTTTTTTCTTTACACCTAACACATGAGACATCACATGGACACATACATTCTCTCTGACTCGCATGTATGTCAGAAAAAGACGCCATTATTGAAAAGAACTTAGACGCTCCGAGTCTCCCTCCACTGTCAAGCCCAAGAGCCCCATTGAACCTGCAACACGGTCGGGCAGAAAGGGAATGACAGTCTACAAAAGCTTGCACCCTCCTTATCAGTAATGGTAACATACATATATAAACTCACCATAAAAAGTAAAGACCAGCTTAATATTCTGCTACCAAATATGCCATCCACCTCCATATATTGCAACACAATGAAAAAAACTGATATTTTTATATTCCCTGCAGCAGCATAGAAAATACTGTGCCTATATGAGAAATTAGCATATCACAATAAAAATATGCAGTCAAAACTTGAATACATAAAACAAGATCCAGCACTGTACAAGATACCCCTTCAAAAGAAAGATAAACACTGTACACTCTGCGCAATTCTTCTCCTTTCGTTCTGCTCACAGTTCTCCTTTTAACTTCTCTTACAATATATCTACATGTCAGAAGAATGGGGAAAATTATTTGGAAATTTTGCTGCCGATGGTCCTACCACTGGTATATATGCTAACAGAGCATCGTGGTACAAATCTCATTTGATTCTAGCCCCTTTTCCCACCACGAAAACAGAGTCCATATTAATTATATAAGAAACAAAAGAGATTATGCTCGGCTGAAATTAGAGTAAATCTCATCACCCACCATATTAAGTGATACTTTTAGATTGGTTATTATAAACCGCTTTACACGCACCACCGTGGTTACTTGTCTCTTTGTCAATCTCGTAGGAAGAAAGCAACCTTCTCTGCATCAAAAAACAATATCAGATAAGGAAACAAATGAGTTTTAAAAGTCCAACATAACAAAACAAAGAATAGACGCACAAGTAGAAAGTTAAAAGGAACCAGACCTTCTACCAAATGATAAGTAAACAACTCTGGAAGCATAAATCAGAGACAAACTATGCTACTAAACAAACCCAAGCAACATCAAGATTTCACTCTAACATTTAAACAGACAGGCATGCTTGATGCACAATAAAAAAAACCAATTCTTTTCATCTCTTATATTTCCAGCCTAATCAGCCAATACATGCTTGTTCTAACAAACCTTTTTTGTTCAGAGTATAATGAAATATCAGAGAACAGCTTCCAACATGCAAAATAAATCATGAAACAGAGCCAACCGCACCCAAGATAGATCTATAACATCATAGGAGTCATTGTCATACTTTGCCAAACTGTCATATTTCTAAATGCTGACTACAGAAAACTCATTGTGGTTTACAAGGCAAAAAGCACAATGCTGCAAATTGTTGAAAACAAAGGATGATTGCCCCTGATTTATGTTAAGCCAGAATGTTGCAATTCAAACGATATCTGCCAACAGAAATTTTCTCGGTATTCAACCACTTGACCCATTAAAAAAAAAGACTAAAACTACTGATAGACCTAAAAAAGCATAGGGTGATACCAAGTACCAACATTACGAAATTTTACTAGTCTACTTGCATCATGTGCACTGTGAAGAAAGAAGTAACCATTACAAAGAGCTCAGAAATAGAAACTCACATGATCCTCAAAATCAGGACTTGTCAAATTGATAGAGAGGTTTTTCATCAACAGCAGCACCTAAATAGGAGAAAGAAATATAAGCAATCACATCTGTGGCAAGATCAAGAAAGAATGTATAAATTGTCATGGTAAAAAGAACATACTGTTTCAACATCTATAGGATCCATCTTCTTAAGTTTCTGCACATGACCAGTAGTGTTTGGATCAAAGACACTGCCAATGAAACTGTATACTTGAGCAAAGTCAGGCAACACTGCATCAAGCAAAAAGCCAATTTAAAGGGTGTGAGGCGTATATAGCATAAAAGATTACAATTTTCCAGTATCACTAAGACAAACCTCTCAGTGCATGACCTTGATTTCCCTGATCAGTTATCTCCCCAACTTGTTTTGTCTTTGGGGCACTCTCAATGCTACTGCAAGAGTTATTGGCCATCCCAGGACCTATAAAAGAAAATATACAACACAATCAAAATCTTTATTTTGGAAAGGGGTTAATGCTATCATAAATGAGTTCAATGTTAGAATACTAGAATTAAAAAGAATAAGAAACCCTTTTTAGCTTGTGAGAAACTGATGGTTTGTGCATTGTTTGTCCAGGAAGATGCAGCAGCACTAGTAATAGAGTTCATACGCATTGATGAGGGATCAGATCTAAGAACATATCCATTGTCAAGTAAATCAGCTGATGACTGAAAAGGCCCCGATACTTGTGGGTGGCCATGAGCTGCCAGATGTTACACAGAGAGATAGGATTATTATGTCAAGTTTATGCTGTGATTATACTCATACTTAAAATAAAATATCCTCACCACTTTTTGAGGCTTTCTGAGGATATGGATGAGCTGCTTTCCTTTTAGGTCGAGGTGGAGGTAGGTGTTCACTTGTTCCATTCTTCTGAACCTTTAGAAAGTATTTCTGGGCATGGCTACGGATCTACAAAAACCAAAAGCCACTTCATTTCACATGTTTCATGGGCATTGGTATCTGCAGATAATTGTTAAAAGCAAAAAGGAAGCTCTAATATAGACACGACACTGGTTTTTACATCATTCAGATTTCTAGCCTCTTACTGAAACATTAGAAAGCAGTCTCAGATGCAGGGGAGAGATTAATAAGTATGATTGACAAGAATAAAGATCTCCTTCATTCCTAAACCCTCCTGCCTCTTTCCTTTCAAAATACAAAGAGAAACTTGCTCAAGGAAAAATGTTATAATCATTTTAGTGTACCTGAATAACAGTCTTCGACCCGACAAATGCTTCAATCTTTTTCCAGTCACGATCAAAGCTGGACAGAACCAAGGGAATGGAAACAACAAAAACAAGTGAGACCACGAAAACCATTTTGGCTAACATAATCATGCAAAAGCATGATTCAACATCTTCTGAATTAACAAAAAGGAACTATATAACAACTCCACTAAGTCATAATCTCAAAATGTTATTCGGTAATAATGTATATCCTACGTTGCCTCAACAAAAGTTCAACTATGACAAAATACTTGCACATTATTCAGAATTACTAAAAAAAATACTGCTTTCACAGTGGTTGTAAAAAGTATACTACCATCAAACATATACTCCTACTACTGTTTAACAGATTGCACGATTTGCTCAGGTCTTCAAATATGCAAACAGGCTATTACAATTCAGCGTGTTTTCAGTTAGATATGTAGACTAAAGCTAACTTAATATAAGAAGGAACACATGTTTATCAGAGAGAACAAGGATGTCATCTCCTTTTCTTCCCCACTCGTGCATTACAAAATATCCTTATCCTACTTTCAATAAAGATAATAAAGATAAATTCTTATAAAACTTAACTTTAACGCAAACCGATTTAGAAATTTTAATTAGATACTTATAAAAGAGGAAAATACGACCTTCAATATCAAATTCTGTTCAAAACCTTAAAATTGAACTTAAAAAAAAATCATAAATAAATTCCAAAAATTAAAAAAAATTATTTGAAGTGGAAGCAAAGCAATTTCGTAGAACTAGAGAGAAAAATGTTGACTTTACAGCTGGAGAGCTTCGAGGAACTTGTCGTGTTCGGGTTCAGTCCAGCTTTCTCTGGACTTGGTTATGGTGTAGGGCTTTCGGATTTTCTTATCCGGATCCTCGGAAGATGAAACTGTGGACGCCACTGTGGACGTCGTGGTGAAGGGTCCCAGGCCAGGCAACGCCATTCCAGTCGGATCCAGGTAAAATCCCTCAGCTGGGTTCTTCTTTTTTGATACCATGTAAGATTTTTGGGAAGTGCTTTGAAACAACGGATAAATGTAGCGTTTGGAAAAGGCGGTTGGGTTTGCATATAAAGGGCTCAGGATTTGATTGGATGCTCCGTGGTTTCCATCTGGGATTTAGAAGTGGCGAAAAAGAATCTGCCACGTCTAGAAGGAAATTTTGTCTAACTTAAAATTATTTTATTTTATTTTTATAAAAAAAAGTTAAGATATATTTTAAGTCAAGGAAATTATGACACGCCTGATTTTCTATAAACAAAATATATATTCCCAAATAATTTATTACAAACAATTAAAAAAAAGAAGATAATTTTCTTGCTAATACAAAGCAAAAGAAGTAATTTAAAAAGTTTACAATAAATCCAAAGAAAACGTCTATACTCTTACTAATGCTTATAAAAGCGATATTATCTATAAAGTAGCTGATTGAGAGTTGATGTCATAAGTTAAGGGACATCAATTCCATTGATAAATTTGTTTAAAAATTAAATTGAATTTATAAATAATAGAATATAATTAAATATTTAAGTCTTTTACTTTTTAAAATGACTATCCACACATTTAACAGGTTTTTTTAATTCACTTTTTTTTTTTAATTTTCACTTACATTGTAAGTATGCAATATCTAACACTAATATTAAATTAGTATAACAAGTCAACTAAAGTTAATTCAATTGAGTAAAGTACATAAAAATCAAAATAAATTATAACAAAATAATAAAATCAAGGTTATTTATATCTTTTAATTTTTTTATACATTCAAAAAATTATCCCATATTTACTCACTTAACTTTTTCTTTCCCCTTAAGAACATAATTTTTTTTTTTAAACAATGACATAGAGTGGTCAAATTCTAGTAAAGCAAATTGCCAATGAACTTTGGTTCCAATGGCACGTGGTAAAGAGATAGGTGCCTACAACATCCATTGCTTAGGATAGAGATCTAAGGTACTTGTCTTACCAACTAAATTAGTTATTTAGAGAGATAAAAGGTCAATGATAATTAAAATTTTTTAAAAAACAAGTGCATCTATTTTGTGTAGGGCTCATTAAAAGATGGACAACCTTTTAATAATCTTTTAAAAAGATTTGATTCTTTTTCTTTTAAAAATTAGTGAAGATGTAAGCCATGTATTGTAGATGATGTTGAAAATTGATGATTGAGATGTTGGAGAGTCACTGTAAATAAAAAAAGCTCATAGAGGAGACAATCTATAAGAGTTAGAATAATAGCAAAATATGATTATTGGATTAAAAGGAATAAAAGTTCACCATTAAGACTAGAAACTAAGGGATATAAAGATACTACCTTAAAAATTTTAATCAAAGATATAGACTAATAGAAGTTCATTACTCTAGAAAATTCACCTAAAAGATACAAAACTTGAAAAATAATCTAAAAGATTGCATAAGGATAAAGAAAACTCTATTTTCCTTCAACCAAAGAATAATAGAAAATATATAGGCTAAGAATATCTCTTCAGGTATGAAAACTTTTAGATTGAATTGCTAGCATCGTGCCTAAAATCAAGGGATTTACATGTGAACCCATTTATTTTTGTAGATTACATAATAATAAATCTGACTATAATCACATCCATATTCATACTTTTTTTTTTAGTTAATGTGAACACAATCTCCCTATTTCAGTCCACCTTATTTTTACATTTAGTGGATTTGGACCAAGGATAGGTTTATCTTATTTTTGAAAAAGTCCTCATTAGTTTCAACCCAAGTTATAAGATGTGTTGATACTCTAGTGTCAATCTCCTTTAATTGAAAAAGATTTGTCCTCAAGTTTGAATTAGTCTTCTCGTTATGGTAGGGTGATAAATTAGTAACATTAAAGGTGAAAGTACTTTATAAGTGTCGAAAAGATCTATCTTATAGGTATTTTTTTCAATGCGTTGGAGAATTGTAAATAGATCATCTACTTTAAGTTGTAATTTATCAAACTTACTTAGAGAAAATCTCTCTTTTTACAAGTTAATCCACACCAAATCACCTTTTTTGAACTTCACATATTTTCGATGCTTGTTTGCTGCCTTTTTATATTTCTCATTTTGCTACAAAATCTTAGCTCTCACTTGTTCATGCAATTGTTTGATACCCATAACCTTTTTTTTTACATTTTCACTAAATTATTGATTATAGGGAGAGGAACTAAATCTAAAAGGCTAATTGGATTTTTACCATACATCACTTCAAAAGGGCTACAACCAGTAGTTTGGCTTGATGAGTGGTTATAGGCAAACTCTATTTGAGGTAAAAATAAGATCTCATTGCTTGATATTCTTTCCCACATAACTTTTTAAAAGGTTGTCCAAGCTACAATTGGTTACTTTCATTTGACTATCTGTTTGAGGATGATAGAAAGAACTATACTTGAGATTAGTGCTAAGTTTCTTCCAAAGGTGCCCTAAAAATGACTAAAAAGCTTGGAATCTTAATTAAACACCATGGATCTAGGAACTCCATGTAGCCTCATAATTTTCCTGAAATACAGAACAGAAACATGAGAAGTATTTATAGTTTTGGTATAAAGAACAAAATAGGGGGCCATATTAGAAAAACGATCCACAACCACCACAATGGAGTTTTTGTTCCTTTAAGTTCTAGGCGGTCCAACTACAAAGTCCAAATTAACATCCTTCTAAAGAGCATTAGTCATGAGCAGTGAAGTATACAATCTAGTGTTTTGACCATGACTCTTGGTAATGTGGCACACTCTATATTGTTCAAGGTGTTTCATCACATCCTTCTCTATTCTCGATCAATAAAACATATCCTGTAAAAGAGCAAGTGTCTTATCCCTTTCAAAGTATCCATTTAGTGTACCATCATAAGCTTTATTTATTAAGGCTTGTCTCAAGGAACATGAGAGAATGCAAAAGCTGTTAGTCTTGAAGATATATCCATCATGCAATAAAAACTAGTTATGTGGTCTTTGCTTGCATTCTTTCTAAATTTGATCAAAGTAAAGATCTATCTAATAGAGCCCTTTAATCATATTAAATCTAATAACTTCAATAGCCATAGTTCTTAATAAGAAGTGCTTTTGACTTAAACCATTTATCACTAAATTTTGAGTTTCTGATTTGTGTTTAATAGTAAAATTATAGGCTTGAAGGAATTCCACCCAAGCTGTATGTCTTCAGTTGAGGTTATGCTGGCTATTAATAAACTTCAAAGCTTCATGGTCTGAATATAAGATAAATGGCTTGAGAAAAAGATACTGACTCCAATGGAATAAAGCCCTACAAATGGCATAGAACTCTTTGTTATAGGTTGAATACTTTCTTTTAGCTTCATTGAGCTTTTCACTAAAAAATGCTATAAGCTTTCTTCCTTGACTTAAAACAGCACCTATTCCCAAATTGGATACATTCTACCTTAAACACTTAATCGAAGTCTAGTAAGGACAAGACAAGAGCTTCAGTAATCTTGGTCTTCATGAGTTTAAAGCTATGTTAGGCTTCTTTAGTCCATTTAAAAGCTTTATTCTTCAAACATTCGATGATGGGAGTCACAATAGAGCTAAAACTCCTAATGAAGTGCCTATAAAAAGATGCAAGGCCATAAAAGCTTCAGATATCATGTAGAGATGCTGGTGTTAGCCAATTTAAAATTACCTCAACCTTGTTGGAATCCATTTTTATTCTTTTTTTTTTTACACTATAACCCTAGAAACATAAAACTAGAAGTAAAAAAACTACATTTTTTAAAGTTAGCATATAGTTTTTGTTCCCTCAATTATGTAAAATAATTGGTGTAGATGATTCAAGTGTTGCTCTTCATCTTTGTTGTACACCAAAATATCATCAAAATATACTATTACATATATGTTAATACAAGGTTTAAGGATATGATTCATAAATCTCATGAAAGTACTAAGAGCATTAGATAAACCAAAATGTATTACCATCAATTCATAAAGACTATCCAATGTCTTAAAGGCTATTTTTCACTCATCTTTAGGCCTCATTCTGATTTGATGATAACCATTGCGTAGGTCTATCTTAAAGAAAATAGTTGACCTATATAGTTGATTTAACAAGTCATCTAAGCGCGAAATAGGTAAGCGATAGTCAATTGTGATTTTGTTGACTGTCTTACTATTCACACACATATGCCATGATCTATCTTTTTTAGGCATTAAAAATGCTAGGACTGTATAAAGGCTCATGCTTTCATACACCATTTTTTTTTCACCAATTCATCAACTTAGCATTGCAACTCCGAATGCTCTTTAGGACTCATCCTATAGGCTACCTTGTTAGGTAAAACAACTTCTGGGATAAGATTTATGCAATGTTGAATGTCCCTTATTGGTGGAAAACTAGCTAGTAATTCTTTTTGAACAACATCTTGAAATTCTACCAATAATGGTTGTATCACTATAAGAGGGGCTCCTCACTATCTTTATTCTTCTTAATTAGCACTAGTGCATGTATAATACCGCCCATCTTAATTTTTTTCTATAATTGACCTTGGTAAATAAGCTACTTTCTTCCTCTTTTGTTAGTTTTGACATCATTATAGGCTTGGTTGGACCTAGGATGATTTTGCATCCATCATTCATAAACATGTAAGTGTTATGGTAACCATCATAAATAACCCTCCTATCATAATGTCAAGGTCTTTTGATCAATAAATAGCAAGCATCTATTGGAGCTATATCACATCACATTTAGTTTTTGTATTACTTTTTTATGAAAAAAAGAACCAACACCTCTTATTAACTTTGATTTCATTCTCTTTCTGCAACCAAGATAGCTTATATTGTTAGGGGTGATGCATTGCCTTGAAGCCTAATTTCTGTACCATAAAGGTAAAAACAATGTTTTCAAACTTTCACTATCAATTATAATGTCATATACCTTTATGTGGATAGTACATTGAATGTGAAACACATTTTAACTCAACCAATCTTCTTCTTTAGTGGGTGCAGTAATCAAGCATATTGTATGACTAAGAAAGCTCCACAATCGTCATAGGTTACCTGTTCTTCCTTTTTAAGGTTTTGATTCTCTTCAGCCAATTTTTTTTTTTTTCAAGTATTCCTATACTATAGCACAATCTTTCTATTTGGGCATTTTGAAGCAATGTATCCAAACCTTTGACATTTAAAACACCTTTTGGT